CCAAGATATACGAGCAATGCATCGAAGATACCGATGTTCGAATACAAATAGCCTAATTAACCTTTGTGCCATTCAGCCAGCATTCAATGGTTTACAATTCTAGCTCTACTCAATGATGTTTTAATGTTATCAGTGAACAACTGCTTCATGTTAAACTTATGTCTACACAGCATGGCTTCACAACAGAAATCCAAAAATGATGATGATGTGAACGAGTTGTACTGAATATCACTAAATCTATTAGAAACCATTAATCGAATACTAGTATACTACTCAATAAATCGATAAGTAGCTAATGATAGTTAACAAAAAATAATTATTTCAGTTCATTGTGAGAAAACTAACCAGATTAAAGATAATATTTAACGAGATTATCGCTATCAAAGACAAAACAAGTATAAACTAGAAAAAAGCAACAATCTAAATCAGTAAGTAAAAACGCAAAACATGTAAATTAACAATACTCTACTTCAGAACACTCAAACACTTGCAAAACAAGTTTTGAGCTGAATAGTTTAGACTGCCGAACTATACAACATCGAAAACACAGATAGCAACCAAAAAAGTGAAATAGAATGTTGAAAGTGAAAGCCACAATTTATGAAGTGTGTAATCAAATGAACTGACAAAATTATTTTGACATTTTAAGAAGTTTGAATATATTTCAGAATTGATGCAACTCACTTGGGTAACCATTGACGCAACATCACCACTGTGAGATGGCAATAAGACAGTATTCGTTGTCTTGGCTAAAGCACTGAAAGCTTCTATATACTGTTCAGCTATTGTAAGTTGTACTGCATCTGCTCCACGCTATACAGAAAATACAATCAAGAAAATAAATTATTGTCATAAACTTTCTCAATCTTATTCATAAAAAAAACTGTGAATACATGATATGAACAATTTAGGTTCAACGGTACTCTACTTTTGATGATGATGATGATGATATTCTGTGTTATGATTTGAACAGTAGAAACATCCAATCTTATGAAAAAGACCCGAGATCATTTACAGTAGGAGGATTTGATTCTGACCAATTTGATCTCGTATGCTTTTATGGGTATGAGGGCGGATGTTACTTCCCGACTGCCTACACCGCAGAAGGGATCTGGTTGTCAGAAGAGGCATCGGCCTCGTGACTTCTTAAGGAACTCGGCTTTCATCATGAGACGTCATAATTCTTCTAAATGAAGACCTTCTAACTCCTAGAGCAGAGTTTAAATGGTTTGAATTATTTTTTTCTTGTTAGCGTTTTTTAGCAAGTTTGTTGTTTTGCGGGATGAGGTCGCCAATCCCAATCCCAACCTAACATCTTTATCCGGGTTCGGGTCCGGCAGTAGCCCCAGAGGGTCTACAGGCTGCTAATACTTCTTCTACTACTACGGGATTTGAAGTGACAATTGCATCTCTGTGCTAATGTGATATGGCAACTTGAATTGATATACATACGTACGAAGTTCTAAGTATTTGTCGACTTACTAACTGACAGTCAAAGAACTGCTTCAGCTTCTCGTATTATTTTTAGATGAATAGACATACCGTATATAATGATAAGCTTCTATCAGAACTCACATTCAGAGTGATAGACTATGAGACGGTGGCTAACTGTCAGAACAAACAAGCAGAAAACTGACCAGTTCAATATAGTTTGACGGTTAAAAAATACGTGACAAGCAACAAGAGGAAAAATTACTTGATAACGAAGACATGGATAAATGTTACGAATGTCATCTTAGCGAATTACATATGGAGTTTGACTTGTTGACATTGAAACCGCTTACTAGAAACACGGAATTGATCACTTTATGACACAGACCCGGTTTATAAAATAAAGCTGTAAAAAGGGCTGGGATATACTGCTTCAATAACCACTCCTTAGACATATTCCCAGAGATGACAGAACATTTTTAGACCTGACTACAAATAACAGTCAAAGCTCTTTTCCCTACAGTTTAAATTTGCGTTCCATACAAAAGTAAGAGGAACCTATTCAAATTAAAAAACTTCATCCTTATAGAATTTTAAAACTGATTATCTTATCTGTTATTAAATTTGACATATTTTGCACATTCCGATGTCAATATACGTAATCCAAAAATACTACCGTATTCTTTCGATTTCTTATCATCATATTATCTGGCCTCACGGGTGTATGTAAGCTCAGAAATACACGAATATATACTAATGTACACGATAATTTTATCTCACATCCTAATTTTGAGAAATCCGACACTTTTCGTTCTGTTAAATCTAACATTTTTCTCGTGAACATGGACACTATTTCGACTCTTTGTTTGCAGGGTGGAACTATCATAGCACCTCACCTATATTTGAGTTTGTTAACATTTAACTCGGCTAAGCTTTTTTTAAATAACTTGTTTATAAGTGTTAGGATATTCACCAAATATCCTACGGAGAATTATTTTGTTAAGTGTAAATTCTATTGGTCGATTCCTATTGGTCAATGATATTATGGTCGTCCTAGGTATCAATGTCACGAACTTCAATGTTGCTTCTTATTGGTCGTCTTGACTATCAATGTAACTTCAAATATTTTTTCCTATTGGTTGTCTTAACTGTCCATTTCACAGACATCTATGCTGTTTCCTATTCGACCTAACTGTATAAATAAGCATTAACTGTAACGTTTTATGACTCGGAACCTCAGTTCGGAGTCAGTGCCTTCTTCTGGACTCCGGCCTCGTACTTTCTGGATGCTTGTAGAATACTGGTTCTACTTCATATCAAGTCTTCTTCTTTCACTCAATGGGGGTTAGGATTTGAGTAACATGTCGTGTGGTCTGGTCTTCGATCCTCGCTCCCATTTTCTGACTAAGGTAAACTCGTAATAGTTCAAGCATCTCAAATGACATGTTTACGTGCATGCATAACAATAAGACTGCGTCATTCGAACAGCAGTTAGTCTATATCTGAGTACCATTACTATTATTGTGTTTGTATAGGTAAGTGTGCTTGAACATCGGTTACAGCTTACGTACATATGAATCCTACTAGCTTTTGTGTTAATCGCTTAATTAATTAACTTGGTGACTTACTCATTTCTACATAATTATATATGTACATTTTGAATCCTATTTATTTGTTCCTCGGCATTCGCATATCGTCTCGTGTTCGTTAAAGATGCCTGTGGTTTTGTGATCTGTGTTGTGTGATGATAAACTTCATCAAAACTTCCTATTGTCTTCTGAATTTCGCACATCGTCGACCGTTATCTAGTAGTGGTTTTTAGGACGAGTAGTACACGAAGTTTAAAAAATTATGTTAGATTTAATCCGTCACAACTTAGATATATCAACATTCTAAGTCCTATTAACTGATAGCTAGTACTTATTACTTAACAAACAGGGACTTCATAGAAATATTTACACTTTCATGAAATTTTAGTTTGAAAATGAAAGATTAACAAAATTTAAAAGACGAATATTTCTTAATAGTAGATAGTAGATTTTCGCCAATACCTTCATTGATAATTTTATTTCTATGTATTGAAAAATATACCTTACCTTAGCACCAATCGCACGGGCAACAATTTGGATAGAATTGGCTCGAGCTTCTGCCAAACGTTCAGTAGCTTCCGCTTCACCTAAACATTAAGAAATCAAATCAAAACCATACAATAAAAGAGCTTGGAACTATAGAGTATCAAAACGCTTAAAAGATGGTATTATGATAGTGGAATTTCTTCAGGATGATTTCTATGTTTTGGACATTCTTCGTTCAGATAACCTTAACTCCCAACGATGTAAAAATTTCAAAGAGTAATAGGAAATGCTGACTACAGTATATAACTTTAGAGCACAGACCGCAAAGCGAGAAGCACACGAAGTGAAGGAGAGCAGATATGAGAAATGCAGGAGAATGGATGAATAGGATTTAAGGAGTACATATATATAATAAAACGACCGAATCATTGAGTGAATGACAAAGCTAATGAAGAATAGTGAAATTAGGTCATTGCTGGTTTGAAACAATGAAAGGAAGTAGGTGTTTTTTCCAAACAACTTTCGAAATTTTAGAAGGCAATCGATTTACTATTCCGGTTGCAATGCTAGATGTATTCAGCTAGTTTAATTTATTTCAAGTTTAAGATGACAAGTGTTTAGGATCAAAATAAATGACAGACGAGTTAAAAGGCCAGTAAATCCGAAGTCAAGTAGATACTCTAAAAGGAGAACCAGTTCTATACACAACGTATTTACGCAATGGCTGATACTACTGTGATCTACTTGTGTTCAGAGTTAGATTTTAGAGAATAAACACGATTTAATACATTAGTAGTGATTGTGTCAGAACTTGGTAATTCCTAGATACATGTTATGACCTAAGTAAAGGTTATGGAAAATTACTATATCCCACTAGTCACCCTAACGAAATCTCATCGTGCCTAAATACCCAACCTATTCATTAACCTCTCCAGTTAATTTTGTTTATTTGAAGTTATCCAGTTGGTGGTAGAACTTAGCTTTTGCTTAATTTAATTGGAAATTCATTGGAACTCAGAGAGAAATAACGTAAAAACATCATAGAGACACTATTAACATCATTTCTAAAAATTGAATACAAAACTCTGTTTTGTGGTGGAAAGGTTGAAACTATGCTCAAGTGCAGTCGATTCGACCTTAAGTAGGGATTTCTCGATTATGTAATAATATACGGGTCAATCTTTGGACGATGAAAGTTTGAAAATATCCTATGAGTTGTCAATACACTGAGCAAAACGAAATAAACCATGCAATGTTTCGACGTAGCATGAAAAGTCAAATGCTAATATGCAAATTATCTACAAAGGACTTATTCATCCAGCTCAAGTTAACCTAGACATTTTCCAATCTGTGTTAATCCAGTCATATACAAATATGCCAGAGTTGTGAGTATTTTCGAGTAATAAGATTTACCACGTGGTCACTGTCACGCCGTTCTCCGTAGTTGGACTGCTCAAATGTTATAAGCGTATGTAGTATCTGAATCAGGCAGTTGGTCAAATTGTTAATACAAAATGAACAGTATCGTGATGACGAAAATGAAATAACTACCTGATGCCTTATTTACAATTTGAATTTGATGACCTTCTGACTCTAATACCTGACTACGTTTCAAACCTTCAGCACGATTGATAGCAGCCTCACGTTGTCCTTCTGACTCTAATATGGATGCACGTTTTTTTCGTTCCGCTTCAACTTGCATTTGCATAGCTTCTTTAATTTTTTGTGGTACTTGAACATCACCTAGAATAATGTACATAAATATTTTTCAATGCAATTATCGACTACTTACGAATTTCATAACGCAAACACTCAATACCCCAAGGCTCGGATGCTTTGCCTAAAGCTTGTACTATTTGAAAATTCAATGCTTCACGTTCTTTAAAAACATTGTCCAAAATTATCTTGCCAATTTCTGATCGCATAATTGTTTGAGCTAACTTTAATTAACAGAGAGAAAAAAAAATCTAAGTCGAAGCGAATAATTTACTTTTAAAATGTAATAAAACGTCCATCATAAAATACTGGATGTTTAATGGTTGAAATTTACAAAATAACTGGATAGAATACATGTATTTTAGAATTTTATAAAACTAAAATACTTGGCTACAAAATGTTAGTCTATCACGAAGACGTCAACATCTGCAAGGAGGCACGGTATACAGAAGACAATCAGGACGCAGCTGGACGATCTGGACTTTGCAGATGACCTGGCTCTCCTATCTCACACGCAACGACAAATGAAAGAGAAGACGACCAGTGTAGCAGCAGCCTCTGCAGCAGCAGGTCTCAACATACACACAGCGAAAAGCAAGATTCTTCGATACAACACAACATGGGCCAACCGAATCTCTTTTGATGGAGGTGCCTTGAAGGACGTTGACACCTTTACATATCTTGGCAGCATCATCGACAACCAAGGTGGGTCCGATGCAGATGTGAGGGCGCGGATCGGCGAAGCAACGGCTGCATTTCTACAACTGAAAAATATCTGGAACTCCAAACAACTTTCAACCAAAACAAAAATCAGGATTTTCAATACAAATATCAAGACAGTTCTACTGTACGGAGCGGAAACTTGGGGAACTATGAAAGCCATCATCCACAAGATACAAGTGTTTATTAACGGTTGTCTACGCAAAATACTTCGGATTCGTTGGCCAGACACGATCAACAACAGCCTACTGTGGGAGAGAACAAACCAGATTTCATCGCAGGAAATCAGGAAGAAGCGAGGGATGTGGATATGAGACACACTGCGGAAAGCGCCCAACAGCGCCACAAGATAAGCACTCACCTGGGATCCTCATGGTGAAAGGAAAAGAGGATGAGAGGAATGAACAAAAATTGGACAGAAGTGGAAAGGGAAGCTCATGACAGAATAGATTGGAGAATACTGATCGGCGGCCTATGCTCAATTGGGGGTAACAGGCGTAAGTAAGTGAGAAGTAAATATCTACGAAAATGCATCTAGAAGTCAAATGACCAATCAATTTATTCATTATGAAAAATACTCATTATCAAATGAACACCAAACAAACAGAGAAATTCTAATCATTTGTCAATATTTGCAATAAACAGATAATATGAGATACTAAATTTATTTACATTTACGTCTTAAGCTGTAAAATCAAATGAAAATGTAGGTGATACTTCAATATATGACCCAATTGATCCTTAACGTCTGGACTATCGACCGTTATGATAAACAGGCATACATACTAAGATAAAGGGTTTACGAAGGTTAGTTAACCATCTAACATGAACTGGGGGATCGCTGAATTCCAGAGAGCATTTGTCAACTAACTGTATCTTACATTTACAGTGACTAGTGTAGGCCGCAATCAAGATTTTTATCTTCTTAACTGACATCACTGTCTAGTACATGAAATTACTTTATAAATTGTCAAATAAGCTGCTTCCATATACCTCTAATAGCCTAACACAACATAGTACAGTAGTATACTACAACTGCAATTTTATTTCTGTAGTAGTGTCGACATTTTGTACACTATTATGCTCCATTATCTAGAAAGTAAGTTTCTTAACTAATGAACTGACAGAATTCATCTATCAATACACTGAAACATCTAGTTAATTTCTTCTGAGTTCACTCAAAAGTTAACATGAACATTTTGTAACTAAGATATAATTATAACCTAAAAGACAGACTCACTGATCCTCTGTAATATCATATTTATTGACAATTTGACAGGTTTCACACTTTTTTTCTGTTTACATTTCAACTAGCTCTTGATATCGGTGGTGAACAATGTTAAAAATTCATATAATCAATACAAAATCCAATGTAAACGTTTAAATTTCTTATTCTAACACATACTCCATGTAGACAAGAAACGTTGCATAGTTAACTACACTCTGACGCAATCACTAGAATTTTTAACAGCAACTATCTAGTCTAGATGGTCTGCAAAAAAAAAAGCTCACAATAAAAAATTAATAGTTCTTACAATTAATTTTGACTGTAAATAAAAACACGATTCAAATAAATTGGGCGGTAGGTAATATAAGAACCATAAAGAAATAGATATATATATATACCTGAGTAATTGCAAATTCAGCTTCAGACACTCCATATGATGCTAGATATGGATCTTTGACCTTAAGGAAGAGAACACCGTTCAATTGTAGAACGACGTTATCTGGAAATAAAATGTCAATTAGTTAGATTTTTTTTCCAATCTAAAACCATCATTATAAACTTTTCGAAAGAAAAAACATTAGGAAGGTTGAGATTAAACTATCAGCTGTTAGTAGAATTATTAAAATAAAAAAAATTTGATCAGCACTTATTCACTAACAATTTAGTTGATGAATGATTGACAAGCTCTTAACTTTGCTAAATTTCAGGATTAATAAACCTTATAAATTTTGAAAGCATAATGAACTGAGATTATGAGTTAGGTTGATTGAATTATTACCTTGACTCTGAGAAATTAAGCTCATATTATGTAACTAATATCTTGATTATGAATTAGTTCTAGTCGATAACGGTAAAAATCTTTTTGTCATAATCATATAAAAGTCAGAGATTGTAGATGCATTCAGTCAGTTACAACGTAGAATTTCGTACGTACGTACATCAGTTCAGGTTGTCAAACCACATTAGCATAGAGACGCAATTGTAACTTTAAAACCCACAGTAGTAGATGTAGTAGAAGCATTAGCAGTAATCGGAGATATTAGGGTTCGAAGATTCAAGAAGTATATTCTAGTGAAATAAACTTCAAAAGATAAAGATAAAGGTGATGATGAATCCAGAGGATTATGATTTGAGAGAACACCTGCTCCATTGCAAACGATTTTGAGCCATGTCATTCAAGGTCTCTAACCATTGATTATTATCATCTCGTGGACCCCAACCTGGTAGTCTACATCTACCAACATGACTCAAACTAGTTGTCAGTGACTTCAGGAATTTGTGCCATGGTTTGGTCTGGCCGCCCCTGGCTTTCGACTAACCTGTTCGTACACCGCAATGTATAGCTCGACGAGGTAGTCGTGGGTTAGGCATACGCAAAACATGTCTCAATCACCTCAAATGATGAGGTTTCACTACTTCATCTATCGATCTGCCATCCTTACCTAGTACTCGTTTCCTAACAACAGCGTTGTTTACTCGACAGTCCCAAGATAAACGAGCAATGCTTCGGAGGCACCTATGATCGAAATCCAGTAACCTACGAATATCTTCTACTCTTACTGGCCATGTTTCACAGCCATAAAGTAGGACAGAAAGAACTGCTGCTCAGTGGACTCGTCCTTTGTTTAGAAGACGGATATCTCACCTACGCTGTACGCGACGCAAGTTGGCAAGTAGGTGTGTTAATCATTCTACAGCAAATAAACTTGGAAACATCAAACATAATCAGGCTAAAACAATGTCAGTTCGCTTTTTTTAATAGATTTTATCCTACACGTCGCTCCTAATTGTAATAATGTTGTTGCTTAACTTATCGAAGATTGATGCTTTCCTTAAATACTGTGTCATTGACTTGGAGTATGCTAACGACGTAGTTGTGTCACGTTAAGACTAACGAACTCAAGTTATGTAAGCACTGTGAATAAACATGGAAGAAAGTTTCCGATGAGTTTCACTTGAAGATGCAGAATAATGCATCGTGACAATTTTCCACTAATTCTTAGTGTCGTTAAAGGAAGTAAATGAGTATGTCAACAACAGCACAGTACTAAGTTGTGTTTTAAACTTCATTCTAAAAGGATTCTAAAGCATAACCTATGAAGACAGAAGACATATGTAGGTAACGGATAATTGATGATAAGTGTCTTTGAAGAATTACAAGCATACGAAAAAACCAAAGTTGACATTTGGTTTCGTTTTTATTCCTGTAGTTACATTACATTTTTACGGCACCCAGTAGCTTTTTTCTGGTCTAAAACTTTAGCTAGTTTAGATAGCTTTAGATGTTAACATGGCTATGTCTTTAAGGTTGTGCCGATGTTAGACTTAAAACTTGAAGTCGTGCACGGTAGGTTGGCTCAGTCAGTCAGTCAGTTACAACGTAGAACCTTGTACGGACGTACATCACTTCAGGCTGATGTACTCTGGCTACTTTCAATAAATTAACCACCACATTGATCGAACAACTAGAGGGTTCAACTAAAACTAGAAAATCTCAGTCTTGGGCGTAAAAATTCTTTTAAATTGATGCAAATAACATATGAGCCTACAGAACCTGGAACTCAACTTCCTGTTTGTCGGTCGAATACCAATTCTTTGAGGTAGATATTCACAAAAGCAATTTTAAGAGTGAATAAACGTAGACTAAGCAACAACCTCTTCTCTAAAAGTGGATGAAATTCCTAACCATAAGAAGCTGAACTGTACAGAAAGTCAGTCACGCTGGAAGTATCTCATTATCCCAAAGAACCATTAAAACCATCTACGTGAAAAGATCGCCTAATGAGTGGTAAAATAACTAGTTTGCCTAATACATATTGTCAAATAACATACTGCATAGGTTGAGGAAAAATTTAGAGAAAATTTATGGATGACTAAAATGGCATTACAACCAGTCTTTATGTATGGAGTTCACTTACAGCTAAAGTGTTAGATATGTGACCGTCAAAAAACTAAATAAGAAATAATATATCCGATTACCTGACGTAATTGCTGACTGATCTGGAATTTCAATTGCCACTTCTTTTAGTGACTGTATGTAAGCGATTCGATCCAGAAAAGGTATACAAAAATTGAGTCCCTGTGATACACTGTTAGAAACGAAATTTCCAAATACTAACTGGTTCCAGTGTTCTGTGAAATTTCCCTAATCTTTCAATAACCCATGCTTCTTTCTCTGGGACGATCAATAGCCCAGTGTTTATAGGGTGACGCGGTGCGTAACCACGACTGCTAGCGTATACCTGATGAAAAGAAAACATTAATCCAGAAAATGAAAATAAATAGTTAACACAGTCAACTATAGACTTAAGCTAGTAGCTAGTCTGAAAATAAAATATGAAATGTAAATGGAATACAAACTTTTAAATTTGGTTTAATTGCTATTTTCAGTGAAATTTTTTCTTATATTTGCAGTCATGTATAAGCAGTTCAAATCTCAAAAACAAGATACTGTGAGAATCACTAACTCCACTATTTTAGCGAAGCAGTATGACTAAAACCGTGTTGGTTTTAAACGATATTGTCATTTAGTTGAAGTACTAAAATTTTATGAACAATCACAATATAATGAATCATAACAATGATAGGGAATGACGAAAACCAATAACAGTGATGATGGGTTGGTACAATAAGGTTCGAGTTCATGAAATGGTAAACTAGTGACCTAATAACCATTAAAAACATGACAGAAAATTAGTATGACTTATGTAACTTTAGTAAATGTCTTATTTCAAATACATGGTAGTTCTCCAACATAATACAAATGGAAAGACTTTTGATTATTGATGTATTGTTACTAAATATCTGTCGTTCCTAATCTACTCAATGAAGTGGCTCATTTCACACATTTCACTCTGAATCTTTTTCATGACATTGGAAAATTGATAACTTTGATTAACAGACTAATTATCACATAAGGTTGCTTATTGGAAGCGATTTTCGTCACACACTTATCAATTTAAATTGCAAGATTTGTCGATAGCATAGACAAATGATAAAATTATGAAATTAACAAGAATATATAGAAGCATGTGGGCAACAAGAAGCTAACAAGATAAGTAGTTAAATGTATCAAGTAGATTGCGACTAATCTTTACCACAAAGCTATGAGTCAGTTAGGCAGCCAGTCATACACCAAGTCAAATCTGGCATGTGTATCAATTCAGCAGACTCAGTTTCAAATCAAAACGGAAGACAATTAACGAAATTGGAAATAATACAAATTTAAGCTGAAAGCTAGACATGAGAAGCATAGTTCAAAAAACAAATAAAATTGAAGAACAAAGCGTAAGAGATAAAACCAAACTCAAATTAGAGTACCTTATTCTTTAATTATACGAGAGCAAAGATATTTGTACGAACGGGAGCCAAAAAAAGTATGAATAAGAGTAGAATATATTTGGAGGAGCAGTTTAGTTGGGAAGATAGAGCCATAAATAGTCCGTTCATTTAAAGTAGTTTCCCATGCTTTTATGAACTAAGGGCAAACTACAGCGAAACCGTCAATGTCTTTTATTGTGAGCCATGTCTGATATTTAAAGCCATTGAGTCGTACCATTTTTGAGACGCCAAATAAGAAGTGACGGAAAAACAAACTCCAGCTCCATTCAGCTTTCCTTCATAACCCGGCTCAGCGTCATAAACCGACTATATATATGACTGATATACATAAGTAAAATCAGCACTAAACAACACCAAAATTTTGACTATAGCTGATAGCCATTAATAGCTATCAATAGTTCAGTAAAATTAACCAGTTTGTATGAACATCTCGCTAGAGCTTCTTAAAACTATGACAATGATGATCAACAAATTTAAGCTAATTATTAGCAATAGTGCTTCGGACGCATATACAAATGAAAGGCTTCACTAACCCTGAAAAGTCGGGAAGTCGAACGACCAACAATGACATTACGAATCATGCTGACTGTGACCTTCAGGCTAAAATTCCCTCCTTTCTAATATTAAATATCTTTTTCACGAACTAGTAACAACCAAATGATTTCTATGAGCTCGATTCTTGTTCCTTCTGTACGGTTCCAGGTGTTCGGTAGTAGCAACTTAAATATAAATGAAGTGGAATTCTGCTTGAGACTAACTTGTTTTGTAGTCAGAGACTACTATAGAATTACCCAGTTTTCTGTTAGTTCCTCCTTAGCTTCATATTGTTCGAAATGGCTGTGGGTGGTGTGGAAGAGGCTTTCGCCCAACGGGCTCCCATATCTGGTAACGGTGGATCACCGATGCCTTCACGTAGCGATCTAGGTATATCCAACTGGTAAACGAGAAATACTAGTAAATTATAACAAAATACTGACCTCAGTCCCTATGAAAATGTCGAGGTTCTTCTTTGAAGAGTCCATAGAAGTCACTTTATCACCTCAGTTGGTGAGGACTTACTGAGTTTGACTTATCTTCAAGAGTAGAATGTATCTGCAGTTCATCGTGCTTTGTTGTACCTTTAGTTTCCCCTAAGTTTTGCTTTGAGATTGAGATTTTGGGGATGCTAAGGAGCGTTTAAAATGCCAAGTCCTAAAAAAATTACTTTTCAGGTGCCTATTCTCTAGACGGTAAAGACACATTGACTTGATGGGTTCTTTATAAGGTTTGAACTTCAGTGCTGCCGGCCCGTAGCTTGAAGGTTCATTATTTCGGCCTCCTTTGGGAATTGGGATGATATATCCCAGCTTCCACTTTCAGCATAGCAGAATGAACCATGTCCGGGTTAGTAGAAGTTTCCTTGTTTATATGATACATTTTTCCATAAAGCAGACCAGCTCTTAGTTTCAATTCTGAGATTCTTCTTGGGTTGCAAGTGAAATTCTGACCACCGTACGTCGTATGCAGCGGCGGAAACCTTTGGAGGTGCTGTTCTGCCAGCGGTTCTGTAACATCTGTGTCTTTTTTGGTTGGGCATTTAGGAGCTAAACAGTGGGAAACTCCAGCTTTGTCTTGTTAAAGAGAAGCTGTTTAATGGAATAAGCTCTTCGGATTGAAGATGAATTTGTTGATTAGGTTGGTCCAACATTGAAGATTATCTTCCCCTAACCTCTTTTAACATTAATTCTTTATTAATTTGAACTATCTATTTGTGCTATAATCACTTGTCCACTATTGTTCCAACCAGTAGTATCTAGTAATTCTTAGCACTCGGAAATTGCGATTACTAGTGACTATGGGTCTCCCGTAACTAATGGGGACCAGTTGTGGGACAGTAAGAAATCTCAGTGAGCGTCTACATGAAGTCGAGGTCGGGCTTTTCATCCCACCTGCAGCAGATTTTCCCCAAAGTTCCAACGCTTGTATTTAGTAAGATGTTTTAGCTCGGTTCTGCCAACGATATGATAGCTTTTCCCCCAAGGGAACCTGGATTGAGAGGTTTTTAAAGAGGTATTCTTCATGCTTGAAGATGCAATCCAAGCGCGATTGCGTCTGACCATTTCTCTACCAAGTTGCTAAATTCACATTTTCAAAAAATCCTGGTTCTTTAATGAGGTTGAAGAACCAAGTATAATTGGTGGTCTATATCTGACGCTTGTTGGCAGAACATGCTGACGAAGACATTCGTGGAGAAAAAACAGTTGTTCTCGAACCAAGTATTAGTCTGGATATTTGCAGTAGACTTGGTTACCCTACCCAAGAACATGTAAAATCATTAGCTGATGAATATCAACCAGACCTTTGTACATTTACCGCATCAATTCTAGTTATATGCAAACCTATCTCTACCATGAATCGTTTCTCAGTCCATAAGATGATTGTCGTAACGCAACCTTCGTAACTTGCGCCAATTATTCGTATTGAACATTCGATCTTTAATAACAATGAATCTTGTGAAATGTTTCAGTAAATGTTTACCGTTTTAAAAGAAATATGTTGTTAATCTTAACATTTTGATCTTGCCTGTAAATTGGCATGTCTCTTGTAACATGTTTGTTATTTGAGAATAAATTATTATTATTATTATTATTATTATTATTATTATTATTATAAGTCGATCTGTCAGCTCCATTGTATTTGCTGTCAGTAAAGTTGGCTTCAGGGAGATTGGAGTCCCCCTAAATTAGGATATAAGTATGTCCGTGATGAGTAGAACAGGAAAATTCAGTACATAGTTGCCGAACTCAGTGTCGAAGGTAAGTGGTTTTTAGATGACTCCAATTAGACATCTTAAAGTGTTAGATAATCTCACTGAACATCACACAGTTTCATCAAGATTATCAGACCGTTCAGTGTACACTTGATGTGCTTCCAAGTAAGGTCGTAGGTCGAAATCTTCCCTGCCCCTTAATCCAGTTTTCCAGTCACAACGAAACAAACACGTACCAGGTATTGTTAGCTCCTGGTCCATGATTTTGGAAGAAACCCATGTTTCATATGTTGCTATCGGTGAGTATTGTTGGCATCGTTTAGTTTACACAATTCATTCATTCTGTTTGGTTGATACTTTGTTGATACTTTTACTTGAAACTCATGAGAGCCTTCATCCTGTTTGTATGAATGAACAAGCAGTTTACCTAAGAAGGGCTTTCCAAGTGAGTATTCTCTTCCCGGTCCGTGTTTTTTATTGTACTTGACAGTTCATAAGTAGAATAGTTAGCTTCGACCTACATTTGCGCTTAATTCTTGCATCATATGGTTTACCAGGATGTACATGGATTCCAGTTGGCAAAGTGCCTGAAGAACGCCATTAGGGTATATTGGACAGTTACTTTCAGTAATAGAAGTTCAGAACCCTTTTTCATTCTTGGATGGCCGTAGGACTTGTTAGGGCGGCTTCAGTTGCAGCAAATGATTTATGAACTTCTATAATTAACTACTACTGACTGCTTTACAAGAAGCCGTATTTTCTGGGACAGCTGGAACAATAACACTTCTTTCACCAAAGAATGTATCGCCAGAATCATCTGAGATGTTGCGGATGAGACTGCGCTCATAATATGGTTTGTCCAGTAGTATCGTTGCATTACCTTAGCAGTAATGAGCTCGCCAAATACATTACTTACGGGTAATACAGTGTATCTAAGTGGATTTTGTCCACCTTATTTTATGTAGGCGTTATATTTCAATGTCACATTCTCAATATTGAAAGGTTTGTTTGCTTCATTTATGATCTCCTGACTCCACAGAACTGCTGAACACGACCTGGATAAAGACTTTCCATAACCACGTATCTGGCTTTTGATATATACGCAGAGGGTAAACAGCAGGCCCCAAGCAACCTGACTGGTTTCTAACAAATATATAAGTTTGTTATTTGACTATTATTGTTAGTGCAAAACACTCGTTTTTTCGAAGCTGAAGTGTTACCTACCTGTTAAATTCATGCATTTTAACAAGGATTGTCAAGTTGGTTGGGTGTACTTACCCCTCTCTTATTATCACAATTGCGCATTCTGCCACTCTTAACCGGTCAATATTTTCTTCACGACTATTGATGAGACATCCAAAGTTTTATGAATGTAAATCGAGAAACGACTAATATGTGTGTATTCAGGTGTATCGATTATATGGCATTTTGGCAACTACGATGTTACTCGACTGGATTTACCTTATATCCTAGCAAAATTATTAGTACTTGTTGACGTCAAGAATTACAACCACTTTATTTACACCATGGACTTCACAAACTTTAACGATGGTCATTGTAGTCGTATTAACGTCTATATTATCGTTGAGCATTAGAATGTTCGGTGGTGCTTACAAGCCAAAGAATCTACCAAAGTTTGAAAATCAGTTAAGAATACTAATATATTTTCAATTACCTCAGAATAATTTAGAGTAACAGAACATCATTACTAAGGTGGGTTTCTTGAGAAAAGTACTTCCTTCTCGCACGTGCCGAATCAATAGAGGGTAAATGTTCGTGGGATGTGTAACCTCTGTATTCATTTACTTTGGTCGATTATTAGCGACGACTATGTCATCAGATATAAGGAATTTATTGCTGAAATATAACCCAGTTTTCAAGTGACTTTACAAATTAATACTCCATGTTAAAATAAACATAGTAAAATGGAGCCATTCATGTGAATAATCCCTAAGACTGACAATTTCATTGACCCTAAAAGGCCTTTTCTGTTCTAGAATTTGACTTTCAATAATTTTTGAACAGATGCATACGAAAACGACATGCTGAATAGCTCGATTTTCCTACCACATCCTGCCTAAATACATAATATTAAATACACTCTGATCTGTAGTTGACAAGTATAATTTTTGTAGCACATAATAAGACAACATTTAAGAAAGTATGGTAAGTTTACAAATTACTTCTGAGTATTGTGCAACCGGTATCCGTCGTTTATGGTAAATCTACGTGACTGCCTGTTACTCACTGACTTTGATGAAGGGATACTCGTGATCCTCGGACCCGTTAGTGCAAGGCGTAAATGGGTAAGCATTCTTGCTTTTACAAGCAGTGAAGACTATTGAAATTTGGCTTTCACAAACGTTGACATTACGTGTTTCGGGTTCCAATAGACTTTACTTGGAGGTATCGGCTATCCATCAATTTTCAGCACGATTACTAGATAAGTGAAACCTTATCATATCCTACCGCCAAAACTTATGACTGTTTGAATGAGGAATATTCTGCTCTTTAATGTCAGCAAACACCTTATTATAGAAAGGACAACAGGGATGAACCGCGTACGTCAGGATTTCTGGAAAAAACCAACATAGAATCTTTACCTCGGAAAAGAGACTGGACTTCCTAATACGTGCTGATCTATGTGTCTCATTTCATTTGAATTTGAAGATAAAGTGTACTTGGTTTTGAGATTTTTTTCTGACTTTTCCTGACTGAAATTATTCAGCACTGTTTCCAATCTTATCTGAAGAACTCCCAAAACACCTATTATTAATAACTAAATTGTTTTGTGGTTCACTTTTGGAAGACGCGTAACAAGAGTTATAACTTGTCATCTTTGAGAATTATCTGTTAAAAACTAAATTTATTCCGAGGAAAAATATATCTTCGGTTATTTTCAAGTGTTTAAAACTTAGCCTGGGCCTTCATCACCACCAATGCACCTAGCATTTCCCGGCTGCCTCGTTCGTCACACCTCACCACCTCTAAGTCTTCACGTCTCTGTGCTGTGGTCTTCAGAAATGGGGAATACCTAATTGATGCATTTAAGGCTTCGTACAGCACCAAGAACGATTATCCTAGTCACATAAGTTGCCGCGAGTGTCGACCCAGATCTGTCAGACAAAAATGGGGAGGGACTTGCCGGCCCCCTTCAGGCGCTAAGGCCCAGGAAGATAAGCTGTCTGAGGCAATACTGCAACTTGAACTACTTGGGTTCAAACAAATACTCTCAGCTGGAGATTTCATCAGTCCATCTTGAAATCTCAGCAAACAGAGAACACTCACTGGTTGGTTCCGAAGACTACTTACGGCAGTCATTAGAAGTACTGGGATGACTGGGCATGTATGCAGCGCCACCAGGAGGAATAAGTGTGGAAAATCCTCAAACTTGTATTGTTTGTTAAAAAACGAATACTACCTTTCCTACACTAAAGTGCAATACACCCGCATGAGAGAGAAACTTCTACATGCTTAATGGCCACAGGAATGGTGGGGGCTAACTCTAGATGATCCCTTGCAAACAGTGAGAGACATTACCAAGAATGCTGTCCTAAACAATGTACCTCAGGTACACGACACACCTGAAAAGAGAAGAACTTGGGTTAAACAGAGCACTGAACGCTTGTTATGGGCAAAAAGGAGAGTGTGGTACAAGTGGAAGGTCTCTCTGAAGAATTCCGACAGTAGTTCTTACTATGTATTGAAGAACAGATGTAATACCAAAGTTTGAAGTGATGGGAGACGCTTTCAGATGAAGGTGGCTGCCAATATACTGACAAACAGTAAGCATCTGTTTAGGTTCATGACAAAAAGAAAACCTACAAACCAGGGTGCATTCGCTATAAAATGTCCAAATGGTGAAGATCTTACCAACATAGAAATGGTTTAGATCTTCAACAGCAACTGCACCAATCAATTAAAGCAAGTAACTCCACATTTAGAACGCTACTCAAACATAGTATCACTTGATGGCCTAAGGAATATTCTGCTTACTCCTGACCTAGTACTTAGAATATTAAACTTTTTGTGACAATATTCACCATACGGTATTGAAACAGTCTTCAGAATCGCTCAGTTCAACGACGTGTGATCTGTTCAAGCATTCGCTGGAGTCATACCAACTCCCAGCTGAATGGAAAAAAGCTACCTCTCTCCAGACTTCAAAGGGAGGGATAGGTAGGACCCAGCCTGTTACAGATTAGTCACATTACTACCACACTATCGAAGGTAATGAAAGGGCTGGTGAACGGACAAATGAGGGAGTACACGGGCAAGAACAAAATCCACCATGAAGCTGAACACGGCTTGCGAAAAGGCAGGTCGTGCGCATCCCATCTTCTCCTAGTATTGGACAGCTGATCATCCTGCTGGGGCCAAAAAATACCGGGTAACCTAATATTTCTTGACTTTGCAAAGCATTCAACTAAGTGCTCCACACACACGCAATTACGAAGGTTGAGAAAATGGGCTTCATTGACCCACCCCTATCTTGTGTCAGAAACTACCTTGAGAATATAAAGTTTCACACGAAGTTCAGTAGAGCGCACTCACTTTGGCGAGTCCCAACATCGGGAGTTTCACAGGGGACCATCTAAGGTCTACTTATTCTCCTAATATTCATTAAACATCTCTTAGACAAAGTTAGCTCGACGGTATTCATCTACGCAGATGATGCAAAGATCTGGAGGTCCATTATAAGTGAAGAGAATTCCACTGAGCTTGAAAAGGACCTTACGTCTACTGAGGAATGAGCAGTGAAAAAGGTTTGAAATTAAACGGGTCAAAATGTCAAGTTATGTACATTCTATCTCACAAGCGGTTTATACCCTCAGTGGAAGTCCGCTCTCTAATGTCCCCGGAGAGAGAGATCTTGGTTTATGAACAACTGAAGGCTTCGACACCATATAGGGGACGCAGCCAAGGCTAATGAAACTCTCAGCCTTATGTGAAGACACCTTGTTGCTCTCACCCCAGAATTATTCTTATTGCACTCCCAAAAATCGAGGTTCACAACATCGTCGCACTTGCTCTCCTTAAAAGTTACGTAAACCTCTTGGATCTAATGAAGGGAAGAGCAACGAAATGGGTGACAGGGTTGAAGAGTAAACCTTACGAAGATAGACTACAGAAATTAGGATTATTCTTCCTAAGTTACATGGGAATCAGAGGTGGCCTGATAACGGTATGTAATATATTAAGCACGCCAAATCATTCCAATATGAGCTTCTTACAGAAGCATCAGCACCATGCCCACCGATGAAATCCTCGAAAAATTTTGCATCAGAAAGCGAACACCCAGGTTAGTGCACACTTCTTCTCATTAAGAGTCCTTGCAACTTGGAATGTCCTTCCAGCTGAGGTGATCACAGCACCCTCAGTGGATATCTTTAAGAAGAGACTTGATAAACACGTTCTCCCATAAGGATTATTATCTCGTTCATGGACCAGCTGTGCCTGAGAATTCTCCAGCCTGGTGATGTGATAGCTACTGGTACCCAGAAACCCTACTGCCCTGAAACACACGTAATCATCCAAATCGTGGGACTTACTAACTCACAAACCACTGCCAACTGACTAGAATTAATGTAGTCATGTGGCTATACCCCGATCTGCTGGACACTGCCAACCACCTGGAACCGCACCGAACTAAGAAGAATTGAGAGCACAGAAATCAATTGGTGTATACTAGCTCGTATAAAGGGTATTGGCGCAGAAGTGGGCTAG